AATGTAAGCAGCGCATTCCTTGTCATAATCTTTCTGCCACCCAGGGACTGATTTCAGTAGCTGAGGGTCAAAACTCAGAAAAGGCAAACAGCACTAAAAAAGGAGACAGCCGGTTGTTTAAACCGTGGTGGTAGTGACTGATCATACTGGTAGTACCGATTCAACTTTGCAGCTATTGCCTGGAACAGTTCTTGTCTCTGCTGGCTTTCATGTTGACATTTTGAAAGTTGTGATGCCATGTCTTCAACCCAACGTATCAGATCCACCAGGCACACAACAAGCTGATGGATCAAAGCCTGCTGACTTTCAAACCATGTTAGAAGTTTCATGAACCTGATCACATTTTCAGCCACAAACTTAACTTGATCTTCAATGTCAACCTGTTTTAAGAGATTGCATAGTTTAAGCAAGCACCATATGCCAGGCGTGATTTCAAGCTCCTTGCACACAAATTGCTGGTAGTACATCATATTCTTTGCATGGTAATGAACTGCATTAAACCACAAATTCTACCTTGTAAGCACTGGCTCTGGTGGAAGTGACACAGTCACATGTAGATCCCCGCTTTGATTGGCAATGGACTTCCTGTATCGTAGCTTATGGCCTGAACAACCTTTGAATGCTTTTTTAAAAAGAGAAAACCAAGCTAGCCACATCAGGAAAACCAGATGTCACCTACTAAAGAAAAGGTGTGTGCATTCCAGGTGACATGAATTGCATCGGGCATCATTCCATGGAGCACATCAGAGAAAGCTTTCCACATATACATTGCATTATCAGACAAAAAACTGAGATGTTGTTAAATTCTAAGCTGTAGTTTACAAAAGCTTTCACTACAGCTTGTGCTATGGTAGAAAAATTGACAGATACAAGGTGAAGCAGCTGTGTCTGAACAACAGGCAGGCCATGATCTGTCCAGCTCCCAGGTACAAATAAAATGTGCAGAACATAGTTATCTTGGACATCTGTTGCTTTTTCTGCTACAACTGAGATAGATTCATATTCTTCCAATGCAGATTTTGTAGACTGAACATGCAAAACAATTACTCTTGGTAGATAATCTTGGTGAAGCTTGCTCACACATGGAAACTGCCAGCATTTGGCACGTGTTTGTTCAACTAGCGCTGTAATTTAGAGTTATCAATTTTCTCCAGAGGAATGTTGGCAGCCATGAACGCCTCCACTAGCGTGAATGTAGCCTCTCTCCTTGTCAAACTGCTTTCAGTGTTTTTTTTAAAGATTGAGGACATAGTCACTTGTTTCTTGCTCTGACCTTCAGCTTCTGCAGCAGCCTTTCGCTTTATATGCAGTTTGGACTCTAAATGCTGATCAATGCTGTTTTTCCTTGACACATTCAGAATCACGATAAACAAAATAAAATTTACCACCATCTGCATGCAAGGTTCCTACAGACAATTGCCTTACATGATCTTAAACTGAAATATATTTAGTTTTCTTGGATTTCTTTACACTCATCATCTTCAGACTGCAGCACTGCTGCAAAATTGCATCCAGCTTCTTAAAAGATGGTGCCAAAACCATTTTGCTTTCCTGACTGGTGCCTTCACTGAGCCTGTCACTAACTCAGCCTCTCAGCAGCTCTTTCTCAAACCATGTGCTCAATGGCTGTAGGGATTGCTGTGCTTTCTTTGTATTCCCATAAGTTGAAATTTTTTTCAGGCAATTCTGCACAAAGTCATGGGAAACATCATTTTTGCAGTGATTGCAGAAACTGCTGGGTTTTGCAGTTTTCTATCTCCTTATCCTTTAGATAGGAAAAACTGCTACTAGGGTTTATCAAAAATAATTTGTACCAACCCAGTGACAGGGTAACTAATGTGTAGGCAGGAAGCAGTGTATGTGAATATCTTAACTTGATTAAGGCTTTGAAACTGGTCTCACGTGATATTCTCATAAGCAAACTAGGGAAAAATTGGCTAGATAAAAATCACTGAGGTGGCCATACAACTGGTTGAAAAACAGCGCTCAGACTAGTTGATTGTTCACAGGTAAATTGAGAGGGTACTTCAAGTGGGGTCCTGGCAGAGGTCTGTTCTGGGCATGTATTTTCATTACTGATTTAAATGATAGACTAGAGAATATACATATAAAATGTAAGTGATCTTGATGAATTGGAGTAATGATCCAAAATCAACAAAATGAAATTCAATAAAGACAAACAAAGCATCACATTGTGAAAAATTTAATTCACAAATACAGAAAGAGAAATAACTGAGTAAGCAGTTAGGCCCGTGCTACACATTACATATATTACACAATTAACTGATTAATTGTACAATAAATTTAGACCAGCCACACAAGCAAAATAAGACCAGCCACAAGTTCAAAGCAATTAACTAATTAATCATGCAATCAGTTTAGATATTTAGTTCAGCCACAGATGCAAAGTAATTATCACACCATAAAATGACTATTTGGGTATAAAAGAGCCAGCCAGCTACCAAGTTAGTGCTTGAAAATGTGTAATAATTCCATAGCTGGTTGCTTTCCAGCTTTAATTTGAACATGTGGTAGGGCCCTCAGGAAGCAGGTCTGCAGAAAAGGACCACGGTCTTATAGTGAACAGAAAAAGAATGCGAGTCAACCGTATCTTACTATTGGAAAAACAGGTGAGTCTCACCCTGTATTAACAGGGAAACTTCTATGTAAGACATTGGAGGTAAATATTCTGTTCTGCTGAGCCCTGGAGAGTTTCAACTGAAGTACTGTGTCTAATTTTGGGCAACACACTAGGTCCCCTCTACATGTTACAAGTATCACACAATTCATTTGTTAACTGCGCAATTACCTTGACACCAGATACAAGTGCAAAGCAGCTATCACACAACAAAAAGCTCCAATCAGCTATAAAGTTAGGCCTCAAAGACGTGTACTAACTTTATAGCTGGTTGCTACTGAACTTTAATTTGCACATGTAGCATGATCTCCCCTGAGGCTAGAAGCACTGTCAACTGTGGGCTAACAGCTGCAGGAGCACACCTTGCCCAGCCAGGGCTACAAATCCAGCAACTACTGGGACCTAGACTCCTACATTTGTAGGTAGAGGTGACCTGAGCAGGATGCCCAGGGCAAATCAGGCCATGCAAGGCCCTGCTCTGATCCCAGACCCGAAGAAGCTGCTGCTGCCATTGGTGGTGATGTTGGAAGTGGAAGGGGGGTAAAAAGCCGGTCCACCCACCTCCGCACCACCGCCGCTCTGCCCGGCTCCACGGGGCCCCCCAAAGCGTGGGGCCTGGGGCAGTCACCCTGATTCACCCCCTACCAGGGACAGCCCTATCTATAGGTGTTGGGTCCCTGCAGGGCACAACTATACCTATAGCACCTGCAGGGCATGACTACGATAACCCCCATCCTGGGGGTGCATGAAACCCCAGGGGTAGGAGGATCATCCCTGTGGTAATCCTCCTGTCCCAAAGATGCATGATAAGTTTTTTTCCAGATCCATTGCAGATATGACAAAGCAAATAAGTCATATGGAATATTTAGGTTAGATACTAGGAAAGAAATTTGAACGATAAAGGTAGGAAAGCCCTGGAACAGGCTACCCTAAGGAGATTGCAGAAATGCCTTCACGAAGGTTTTCAAGAACAGACTAGACTAGGGCTGTTCAACTGACAGCCCATGGGCTGCATGCAGCCCAAAAGGGGTTAACATGCAGCCCTTCCTAAGCCAGGCTCCTCCTCACCTTCCACTCATGTTTCTTCTTCTGTTGCTGAAGCCAAAGTCTCTGGGCTCCCCCCTCCCTTCCTCTAGTTTTTACTTCCTGTCTGCCTCAGGGGATTGGAGCAATGGGAAGAGCTCCAGAGAGTGGGGCTGGGCTGCCCATGCTATGCATATGGTGATGAAAGGAGCAGCTGGGCTACCTCTCCTACCTGCAGGATGCAAATAACAAGGGGAACCTGGGATGCACATGTGATGGAGGAGAGGGGAGCTCCCTGCTTTAACTATGTGGGAGCGGAGCTACCTTTTCTATGCCTACAGTGGGGAACCAGGCTGCCCAGGTGCTGGTGGGGTCCCTGCCTGAAGCCCATGCACTGTGTGGCCTGCTTAGCACATGACTCCCCCACACTGCTCAGAAGTTGGACAGCCCTAGGCTAGATGAACATCTGTCAGGAATAGTGTATATATGATAGAACATAGCTCACTGAAAGGATTGGACTAGGTTATCTTCTAAGACTTAAAGAAAAGAAATTAAAGAAGCTATTCCAGTGTCTAAGTTTGCTGAGAGATCTGTTAGTGCACTGGAAATGACCCATGAAGAATAAAACGACAACTAGAAAATGTTTCTTATGGGAGTTTTCATAAATTAGTGTAGCTAATATAGTTCAATGTTCCAAGAAACTAAACACATTATTTTAATTTTTATTCTTTAAAAAAAAAATCACTTAGTAATAGAAATAGAGAAAATGTTCACATTTAATCTACAGGTAAAAATATCCCCAATATGTGCCCGCATACCTCGAAAGTCTATACGTCTAGGTGAAACATGCAAATCAAATGTCAAAACATGCAAGCAACTGAACCAGTACTGAATATTCTCTAAGAAGTTAATATTTAGTCTGCACTCTCATACTTTCAGGAACAGTTCAAGTAACTGTCTTTAAAAATCTGAAACTGTTTAATGGGTCCAAGGAAAAAAAAATCTGAAGATTTAGATTTTTGAGCCCTAGATCTTGACTTTGTAATTTTTGGGGGAAAAAAAAAGGTATTTGAATATCTTTTCCTTCAATTTTCCCAGGTTTTTTTTCAATACTTTAAATATGTACTGCTAGTTTGTTTCTGTTTTTCTATTTGCTCTGGTACAATGTAATATTTCTGATAGGTAGGACTAAGAATCACTTTTACTTCTTTCAAACAATCAGTTTCTGGCAGTAAAGTTACAACTTGAAATTTATTTAATTGGATCTCTACCCACTGCATTGAATTTTAGTATATATATTAATTTATATTTATTATAAAATAACCCTTATCAGACTTACCATTGATTACTGGAGTATAAACAACAATCCCAGCCAAATTAGGATCAGATACAGTTGTGTCCAGAATAAGGCCACCAATGCTGAAAAAAAATACAAAGTACATATTTAGAACAAGACAAGCAGGTGCCCCCATATTTTTTTTGATTCCACCATCTAATTTCAATATCCTTAGTTATGATTTTTAAATAAGTGACCTGAAAGTGTTTAATACCTGATGCCTTTTTATCTACCCATTTTTACAAGTCTGAACAAACACAGTTCCATTACCTCAAGAAGGTAAAAACTGTAAATTGGTTACTAGTGAAAACTGGTTATATCAATGTTGGATTTCAAGACACTTTATGTACCCTAGTGCTTTGAAATAGGAACCTGATATTTGGAAGGATGACTAGACCCTTGCAACTCTGTAAAAATCCATTCAGATTTAAGAGTTGTGGAAAATTACTATTTGGCCATACGGCTGATCTGAAAACTCCCTATTTGACCATCAACATTTATCATTTATATTTTGGTAGTGCCTAGCAAACCAGCAAACGAGGTCAAAGAAAGAAAAGGGAGGACAATGTCCAAAAGACATATGGGACTTAGGCTAGAAATAGACATCGCCAAATGAAGTGGATCAGCTGTGCTGGGATGTCCCCCGGCACACATGATCCACTTCACTGGGCAAAACATTTGTCGCCTGTTGATCTTGTGAGATTGTCAAGAGCATCTCTCTAAGCAGAGAACTCCAACTTTTCCCACTTTCAGAGACATGCCCTGGAGATCCAGGGGGCACATCTCTGGAAGTAGGGAAAGCTGGGACACTCTGGTGTAGTCCCAGTGCTGAGGCCACCAACTAGCTGATTGCCAGCCCCAGCCCCGGGACCACACCAGAGTGTCCCAGCTTTCCCTGCTTTCAAAGGCATGCCTTGGGGATTTTCAAGGTGAGTCTCTGGAAGCAGGGAAAGCTAGGTAGACACTCCTGGGGCTTGAGGGGCCCAATCCTGTGCAGGCATTCCTAAAGCACGCAGGACCAGGCCTCTCAATCCCTAAGAGCGCCTACCTAGAGCAGCAGGAGAGTACATGCAGCTCCAGCTGCCCATATTCTCCTGCCATAAAGCAAATAGACATCTGCCCAAAACAGGGAATAATTTACTAGTAACTTTTGTTGTGGCCACAATATGTATGACAAAAGGTATGCATGTTATTTGCTGTTGCTTTGTCTTGCCACAAACATTTTTATGGAGGTACGAAGGTGACGAAAGGCATTGTCTGTTTCCACCCTTAGCAAGGGAAAATTCAAACCAAGTAAGAGGCAGAGACTGGTGAATATGTGGAGCAATCAATAAATACATAAAGCCGGGGGGAGGGGTTGCTTAAAAACATTTATCATTTTATGTCTGTTATCTTTAGAAGTAATATGTTATTTCTCTAATTAAAGGGAAGCATCCTGGAAGTTGAAATAGATAGTAACATCTGCTTTTTACCAGAGATAGTCTTCTTCTAGCCAATGGATCAACAGGGCCATTTATCCCTCACTAATGAGTTTGATACCCTTCTTATGGAGACATTTAGAAGAGTCAGAAAAACTTTAACTTTAATGAGTGCATCCAGATGAGCGCACACATGCCTGGAAAAGGCACGTGTGGGAATGAAAAAATGTTCCCTGTGCTGCAAACTTGCAGCGCACGGAGAAAATTAGACCCCTGGGTAGGGGTCTAAGAAAACCAGAGTTTAAAAAAGCGGGGCAGGGCACGGTCCAGAACCATGCCCTGTGGCAACCAGAGGTGGGGTCCTCCACAGAGACGCTCTGGGTGCCAGGGCATCTCTATGGTTGGCTCTTCACCCTGTTGCTGAAACACACAGCCTGCCCGTCCGGGGCAGGCAGCTGCTGCAGCACCAGGGCTCCAGTGCTAGTAGGTAAGGGCTGGGGGAGCGGGGCTGAAGGAGTGGGGAGGGGACTATGGGGCGGACCCCTGCTGGCCCCGCCCACTCCCCCAGCCCTCTGATCCTTGCCCCGCTCAGCCCCATCCCCTGCCTGCTCCCCCAACCCCTTTCCTGCCCAGCCCCATTCCCCCCAGCCCCCCAATCCCTGCCCTGCCCGGCTCCACCCCAGCATCCCAACAGTTTAAAACAAAACAAAAGAAAAATACCCTGGCACTTACTGGCAGTTGTAGCTGCCGTCAGGCTCACT